GAGAGGAGAGGAGGAGGAGGAGGAGGAGGAGGAGGAGGAGGAGGAGAGGAGGAGGAGGAGGAGGAGGTGGAGGAGGAGGAGGGGAGGAGGGAGGGAGGAGTGGGAGAGGAGGAGGCAGGAGGAGGAGGAGGATGAGGAGGAGGAGGAGGAGGAGAGGACGGGGAGGAGGAGGAGGAGGAGGAGAGGAGGAGGAGGAGGAGGAGGAGGAGGGAGGAAGGAGGAGGAGGAGGAGGAGGAGGAGGTGGAGGAGGAGGAGGAGGAGGAGGAGTGGAGGAGGAGGAGGAGGAGGAGGGAGGGGCGGCGAGGGGAGGGAGGGAGGGAAGGGAGGGAGGGGGAGGGGGGATGGGGGATGGGGCGAGGAGGGGAGGGAGGGAGGGAGGGGAGGGGGGGAAGGGGGGGAGGGGGGAGGGGGGGAAGGGGGGGGGGGGGGCGGGGGGAGAGGGGGAGGGGGGAGATGGGATGCGGGGGGATGAGGGAGGGGGGGAGGGGGGGGGGTAGGGAGGGAGGGAGGGAGGGATGGAGAAGGAGGAAGGAGGAAGGAGGAGGGAGTAGGGCGGAGGGAGAGGGAGGAAGAGCATTGGATTCTGGAGGGGTGGAACGTTTCGACCCCCGACTGCCCGCTCATCGCCGATCGGGAGCGCGGGTGCCCCGCTCTGCCTGGGAGCGGGCGCCTTCGCTGCCGGGCGGGTGCCCATCACCGGCCCGTCGGCGAGGCGTCGCCGACTGCAGACCGAGGAGGAGGAGGAGGAGGAGGAGGAGGAGGAGGAGGAGGAGGAGGAGGAGGAGGAGGAAGAGGAGGAGGAGGAGGAGGAGGAGGAGGAGGAGGAGGGAGGAGGAGGAGGAGGAGGAGGAGGAGGCCCAGGAGCCAGTCCCCCTCCTCTGGCTGCCCCCCAGTCACCAGCCTGGAACATATCCCTATCCCTATGCTGGGCATCGCCTCATCACGATGCCAATCTTAGGGATTCCCTTATTTTTTGACGGCGAATCCCTAATATTGTCATCGCCTTTTGGCGTGCCAATCTTAGGGATAGGGATACGTTCGAGGCTGGTAACCCAGGCCCCGGCAGGGGCGGGGAAAGGGTGCAGGAGAAAGATTGGGCCAGCGCCACAGGCGGCGCACACGCCCCTCGGCAGGTGTGCCCGCCTCCCCGGAAGTTGCGTGGCTTCTTCTGCTGCTAGTGGGCACCTCGAGGTGCCCATGTGGGATTCCAGCCGTGCTTCGCGTGTTTTTACTGGGTGACTTCGTGCCCTGGACACGCGCTGCAAACGTAAGAACGGGGGATGGGGGAAACAACAGCACGCTTGTGACTAGCGCCCTCGCTTTGTCTTTCGAGGTTGACTTTATTGGACTTTCGGACTTGCCCGGGATTCAACACACTTTCGAACGAAGCACAGCAGCTCGATGCTGCAGTGGGCTGCCGTCCTAAGCAAGCTACGCACGTCGAGCAGCAGCAGCAGCAGCAGCAGCAGCAGCAGCAGCAGCAGCAGCAGCAGCAGCAGCAGCAGCAGCAGCAGCAGCAGCAGCAGCAGCAGCCGCAGCCGCAGCCGCAGCCGCAGCCGCAGCCGCAGCAGCAGCCGCAGCAGCAGCAGCAGCCGCAGCAGCAGCCGCAGCAGCAGCAGCAGCAGCAGCAGCAGCAGCAGCAGCAGCAGCAGCAGCAGCAGCAGCAGCAGCAGCAGCTTACCCGTCGGCAGTATCAGCGGCCATATTGTGGCATCGCCCCGCTCTGGACTCGGACGTACTCCGACCTCAACTTGCTGGTGCGCCCTGCGCCCTATTTTTTTGGGCGTACCATGCACGCGCCGCGTGGCTACAAGTGCATCTCGTCTTTTTTGAATTTCCGACCGATGCCAGCATATGCTTGACACTCGCACCAGGCGGTGTCGTGCAGCATCGGCCTGGAGGAAGCGCCCCGCGTCCCGTCTGGGTTCTTGAAGGCTGCATGCCAGCCCTCTCCCCCACTTCGTCGCGCATTCCCCCTCTCCTTTTTCCGCTAGGTTCCCTCCTTCCTCTCTCCTTCCTCTCTGCTCCTTCCTTCCCTGTTCCGTCCTCCCGCCATCACCCCTCCGCCCAACTCCTCCCTCTCCCTCCTCTCCCTCTCCCTCCTCCCTCTTCCACCTTCCTCCTGCTCACTCCATCCTCCTCCTCCCTTTCGTCTCCCTGCCCCCGCCTCCTCCTCCTCCTCCTCCTCCTCCTCCTCCTCCTCCTCCTCCTCCTCCTCCTCCTCCTCCCCCTTTTCCTCCCCCTCCTTCTGGCGCTCCTTCTCCTCCTCCTCCTCCTCCCTCCTCCCTCCCTCCAGGGTTCTCGTGCGCCCGGCGTGCCCCCGCCCGGGGGGTCAGCGGTTCGGCTGCCCGCGGGGATTGTCCGGAGGACATGCGCGTCGTCGCTCCTCGGAGGGCTGCCAACCATGCGCGCGAGCACTGGGCTCGACGGAGCTCGAATCGCGCACATGCCACGTTGGAGCTCCCTCCCCGTCCTCCAGTGCTCGGCTCCTCCTGCGTCGTCTTCCTCCTCCCCCTCTCTCCGTTCCCCGTCCTCCCTCCTCCGCCCTGCACCTCTTCCGATCCCCCCGCCTCCCCGACCTCTCGCGTCCTCCACGTTCCCTCCTCCCTCCCTCCTTTTTTCCGACCTCCACCCGCCTCCATCCTTTTATCCTTTCTCCGCCCTCCTCCTTCCTCCCTCCCGCCTCCTCTCCCAAGTGTCGGCCCGAAGTCCCCCGCGCGGTTGAGATTGGAAGGGCCACCCGAGTCCATACTCGGCGTGGTTGATACTGCTTAGGGCCTGCAGTCGTTGAGGGCCGAGTGAAGACCCCCACAGGCAGCAGCATAAGGCAGCGCTGGCCACCCGCGAGGGGCCTGTGGGAAAAAAACACACACTGTGGGACAAGAACAAACAAAAAACACACACAGTGTTTTTTTTGTTTTCTTTTTTTTTCCCCCCCCACAGTGTGTGTGTGTGTGTGTGGTTTTTTTTCCCACAGTGTTTTTTTTTTTTTTGTGTGTGTGTGTGTGTGTGTTTTTTTTTTTGTTTTTTTTTTTTTTTTTTTTTTTTTTTTTTTTTTTTCCACAGTGCTTTTTTCCCCCACAGTGTGTGTGTGTGTTTTCCCACAGTGTGTTTTTTTCCCACAGTGTGTGTGTGTTTTCCCACAGTGTGTTTTTTGTATGTTTTTTGTTGCGACCGCGATGCCTTCTTTGTTGAAAGCACGGCGGTGCTTTCGGAACACTGGCGTCGCGATTGTTTCTCGGAACACGGCAAGATGGGGCAACGGACTGATTCGAGACCTCGTGCCCCAACAGGCAAGCCGCTGGGTGATAGTGCCGCTTCTCCGCGCACGCTCGACTTTGACCTGCCGTTGCAAGATGCGTTAGGCATGCCACGGCCCGCGATGATCCTTCATGCTGAAGTGCCCACTGATGGGCTGTGAGTTACTGTCGCGCAGCGTGCGCGCATGCAACAAAGCTGCGAAGCTGCCCTTCAGCGGCGACCCCAACGTGCTGAGGAAGGGCGCCGAACTGTTCAGCTACAAGCGAACTCCAAGTTTGCTACCTCCATCCCATGTTTCAATCTGGACGGTATTCAGCCACCGCAGCCTGGGCGATGCGACTTCAGAGAACATCCCATACCAGACGTTTGCTCAACTCCCCGTCCTCGGATTGTATGCCAGCTCGCATCGCCGCAAACACTGTGCGCGCGTGACCTCACCGTCACGACGTGCTGAACGTGTTACGTGTTGCCCCCGGCCTCATCAATGTTGGCGAACATATGGGGCTACATTGATAATCGGTGCTCCTCGTGCAAATCCAGTTCGTGGCGACGCCACACAGTACTTCGGACACTGCACGCGCGCAAGTTGCCAAGGCCAACGTTGGGTGCACCCATGACATGGTCGACTCAAATGCGACGCACGTCTTGTCCCCATGCGTACATGTGTTGGAAGCACGACCTATGTGACAACAGGTGCAGGGCTGCTTCCTTCGCGTCTCTCATGACCCTGGCTTAGGCATCCCTTCTCTTCCCATGCGCAAGCAGCCATTCAGAATGGCCATGCTAACCTCACGGGCCAGACGCCGAGCTCGTGCAGGTCCCTCTGACATACACATCGCCAGCCCGTGCTGACATGCGTTTCTCGCGCCCAAAATCTATTGGACCATGCCTTTCCGCATCCACGAGGCTTGAGGGTACTCCAGATTCCGTAATAAAGGGAGGGGGGTTTCATTTCGGGGGGGGGTCTCTTCCAGGCTATCTTGGAGGGCCTGGGGGGTCTGGGGACGATGTTTTGGAGGGTTCTCCCACGGGGGAGGTCTGAAATGGCTTGTCTTGGAGGGTCCAGACCCCCTCCCTTTTATTACGAAATCTGGAGTACCCGCTGGCAGGCGCGACCCGTAGCGCGTGCACGCGGGCCGGCAAGGATCCACTAGTGTGCGTGCCTCTCGGCGTTCCCCATTGCTATGCTCTCCGCCGCTGTCCGCTTACCGACCCGGCCAGCCCGGCGACGCCCGTAGGTGTCCACGCTGTGCGCTCAACGCTCATCCCTCTCCCTCCCCCTCCCTTCTCGTTCCTCCTCTTCCCACCCCTCTCCATCCTCGCCCTTCCTCCTCCCTCTGCCTCTTCCTCCTCCCCCCCCCCGAGCGGGAGGCCCGTGAGCTGGGAGAGGAGGAGCGCGGCGAGGTTTTTTTTCTAAGGGGGGCCCCGTCGCAGGCCCGCGGTGCGGAGAGGCAAAGCCGCACCGTGGCACAAACAAAGGTCCTCTTCGAGGGGCCTCCCCCGGGGTTGCTGGCTGACCACACGAGCCTCCCTTCCTTTTCGCCCTTAGTGGCGTGCGATTCCTCCTCCCCCCTCCTTCCTCGTCCTTCTCCTCCTTATCCCCCCCATCCCCTCTCCCTCTTTCTCCTCCTCCTCCTTTCGCCTTCTTGCTCTCCTCCTCCTCCCATTTCTCCCCCCTCCCCCTCCTCTCCGATTTCCCACCTCTCGTCGTCCTTCACGAGATGTAGAATACGGGGTAACGACGATGAGTGCAATACTGATGATGTTGTTGTTATTGCTGTTGCTTTTGCTGTCGCTATTGCTGTTGCTGTTGCTGTTGCTGTTGCTGCTGTTGCTGTAACTGTCGCTGTTGCTGTTGCTGTTACTGTTGTTGCTGCTGCTGCTGCTGTTGCTGCTGCTGCTGCTGCTGCTGCTGGTGTTGTTGTTGTTGTTGTTGTTGTTGTTGTTGTTGTTGTTGTTGTTGTTGTTGTTGTTGCTGTTGTTGTTGTTGTTGTTGTTGTTGTTGTTGTTGTTGTTGTTGTTGTTGTTGTTGTTGTTGTTGAAATCTCACTTCTGAAGAATAATTAATCGCTTCGCTCATTCCGCCGGCCCATATTGTCGCACCGTTGTGGGCTAGCCGAGTTTTGGGGCCTCTTGGGGGCCGTTTTGGGGCCTCTTGGGGCCTCTTTTGGCCTCTTGGGCGCCTCTTGGGGCGCCTTGGGGGCCTCTTGGGGGCCTCTTGGGGCCTTTTTGGGGCCTCCTGGGCGCCTTCTGGGGCGGAGGGCTCGATTTTTCAGTTCTCGGTTCCCCTCTTCAGCCCCTCTTGGGCCCGTCTTGGGGCCTCTTGGTCCGTCTTGGGCGGCACTTGGGCCGTCTTGGGGGCCCTCCTGGGCCGTTCCGGGGCCGTCTTGGGAGCCTCGTGGGCCGTCTTGGAGCGGTCTTGGGGGCCTCTTGGGCCGTCTTGGAGCGTCCGGAAGCCGAAAAAGCCAGAACGCAAAAAACATAGAAAAAAACAATGAAAATCAACGATTTTGGCCTCTTGGGGCCCTCTTCGGAGGCCTCTTGGAAGGCCCTTGGGGCGTCTTGGAGGCCTCTTGGGCTGTCTTGGGGCCCTGTTGGGCGTCTTCGGGCGATCTTTGGCCGTCTCGGGGCCCTCTTGGACCGTCTTGGAGGCTTCTTGGGGACCTCTTGGCCCGTCCTGGGGCCCTGTAACAGGCTCCGGCATCTCTGGCCCGACCTTGCCGGGGACTTGCCGGGACCTTGCCGGGGGGTACTTTTCGTCCGGGGACCCCCAGGGGCCGCCCCGCGCGCGCGAACTAGAAATACTGTTAACCAGGTACCGGAGATCTTAGCACGCCCTGGCCCGTTGGGCCGGCGAATTTATGTTAAGCCCCCCCCCCACTGGTGCAGATGGTTTTTTCTCAATCAAAGTGTGCCCCTCGACGCTCGCACCCGGTTTTTTGGTCACGGAAAGTCTTGATGCTCAAACTGGGCCCTTGGCCCCGGGGTTACAATAACAACGGCTCCCACTTGGGACTTCCTTACAATTTAGCCAGGACCCCCGCTCCCGCCCGAGACTTCCTCGCATTTAATTCAGGAATCGCGCTCTCGCTTGGGACTTCCTCACAATTTATGCAGGAATCGCTCGCCCGCCGCTCTGGAGTCGCGCTCTCGCTGGAGACTTGCTTGCAGCTTACTGAAGACTAGCCTTGCGTTGGAATTTCTTACAATTTGCCCAAGCGCCGCGCTCCCGACACCCAGGCACCCAGGAGTCGCGCCCGTTGTGGCCCCATGTGCATGCCCTTCGTGGCCCAGCTGTCGCCGTTTGTGGCCCCCTCACTGTCCTACGTGGTCCAGTTGCTACCCTCAGTGGCCCCATAGTTGCCTTCTGTGGCCCCGCATTATCTGCACTTCGTGGCCCCTGCTCGTTCGCGCTCATCGTGGCCCCATACGCATTCCCTTCGTGTCCCCGCTGTCGCCCTTCGTGGCCTACTTCGTGCCCTTCGTGGCCCTTCTGTCGTTCTCTCTCGCCCTCGCTTTCGCTCGTCGTCGCCGTCGTCGTCGTCGCCGTCGTCTTCGACGTCGTCGTCGTCGTCGTCGTCGTCGTCGTCGTCGTCGTCGTCGTGGTCGGTCCCCTGTCCGTCCCTCTTGGGGTCGGGTCGACGGTCCGCGGCCGCCCCGCCGATCAGCGCTGCCGCTGGCCAGGCCGACGGTCCGCGGCCGCCCCGCCGCTTGCCCGGGCCCGGCCTGCAGGGAAGAAAGGTATACCCCCCAAAAGGGGTTCGATCGAAGACGAAGAAGGCGGGTATCGAGGGTTTGTAAAATACGCGTTACTGGACACTCGAGCACATAAGGGCGAACAGTCTTAACATTGTTGTTGTTGTTGTTGTTGTTGTTGTTGTTGTTGTCGTTGTTGTCGTTGTTGTCGTCGTTGTCGTCGTCGTCGTCGTCGTCGTCGTCGTCGTCGTTGTCGTTGTCGTTGTCGTTGTCGTTGTCGTTGTCGTTGTCGTTGTCGTTGTCGTTGTCGTTATCGTTGCCGTTGCCGTTGTCGTTGTCGTTGTCGTTGTCGTTGTCGTTGTCGTTGTCGTTGTCGTTGTTGTCGTTGTCGTTGTTGTTGTTGTTGTTGTTGTTGTTGTTGTTGTTGTTGTTGTTGTTGTTGTTGAATACCATTTCTAGAACATGTTTTTTGTTGATCACCGGAGACGGTTCCGCGCGCTCTCGCCTCGACGCCGGCTACATTTTCTGTGAAAACGAGGCTC